GCCTTTGTGCCGAGGCTCTCGAAGCCAAACTGCTCCTCCTCGAGCGAGTCGCTGACGGCCAGCTCGAGGGCGGCCTGGTAGCCCATGGTGCCCTTTTCGAGGCCCTGCATGCTGAGCATGTTGGGCCGCTCGGCGCAGCGCACATGGAAATGGGCCCTGCGCGTCTCCTCTGCCTCCTTCTTGGCCTCGGGGTCGTGGTTGACGTCCCGGGTGAGGTGCGGCCAGACGGTGACGCCGCTCCAGGCCTTGGACTCGATCTGGACGTGGTCCGTCAGGTCGCGGATCTCGAGCTCCTCGTCAAACGGGAAGGCTACGCTGGGATGAGGCGCGCCGGGAAAGTAGCTCTCCTTGCGGGCGAAATACTGGGGAGCTCCGGAGAAGAGTTTCTCAATGTCATCGTCACTGAGGAACTGGGACGTCGCCATTGCCTGCATCTTTTGTTGTTTCTTTCTTCGCCTTGTGATTTGCGAGTGAGCTACCTAGGTGCTAGGAGGAGGAGGAGGAGGAGGAGGTCGGCCGAGGAGGCATGAGCCGAGCATGGACAAGCGCAAGGAGATGCAGTGGCTTGGTAAGTGGAATATCGTCAGTATATTCTCGGTCAAGTCTCGCTAGGCCCTTGGCGATGGACGAAATATGTACAGGAGAGTGTATGTAGGTGAGGTGGTGATGATATGAGAGAGAGAGAGGGAGGATGAAGAAGGAAAACAGCCGAGGGAAGAGAAGCGTCGGCAGCAGAGCGAAAATGGCCACTGAAGATGGTTCGATCTCGTCGGATCTCCGGGTCCAGTTAGGCGGGCTGGCTCACGGGTGGCGGGGCACCAAAGCAGCAGCGCCAGGCGCGGACAGGGGGTGGGATCACCCCAATTAGTGGGCTGTGGGTATTAGCGGCACCAGTGGGTTAGAGGGGACCAGACAGCGACAGTGGGCAGAGGGACAGTGACATGGAAGAGGTGGGCAGACCAGAAGCAGAGTGACGGCACTGTGGGCGCTGCTCTCGAGAGCGGTCAGGTGGCCCCTCCTGCCACTTTCAATGCGGTGCCTGCACTTGCACTGATTGGATCCAATTGATGCATTGTACATACAGGTACCCGACCTCATTGTGTGCTTGTGCAAAATGAATACTGGACAAGGGCGCAGTTGAGACATTTGGAGCTTATTCGCACTGCAATTACCCCCTGCTTGGCCAAGGAAGGGGGAGGGAGAGGCTTTGCACTGCATTTCGCTGATACTTCTCATTGCTTTTTACTTGGCCATATTCCTGTGCTTCGCCCGGCTCTTGCTTTGCTCTGCAGTCTTCGATCCAATGTCGCGTGTGGGGGGTGTTTAGAGCGTACAGTATCCATGGATGTATCCAGGATCTGCGTAGGTGGTACTGGCTGGTAAGGTAATCCTGCCGTTGCTCACTGTTTGTTCGGAAAATGGCAAATCGGCAACAGTCGACGCAGAGGAGACGCAATCTTGAGACCAGCTTCATGCTAACTGCTGCTCTGTCGAGAATCAACACGCGCGTGTCCTGCTCTCGTCTAAGTTGCTTGTACCTGGTCTGGTCCATGAAG